GCGTTAAATTTCCATCTAAAAAACTGCCAACTTTAAGTTTGAACGTTTTACTGGGGGATGGTATTATATTTATGTCTCTATCATTCCGATGATCCTTGATGATATGTGCATCGAAAATATTTACAAAAAGAGCCGGAAATTTAATGAAATAATTGTGTTTATAGATTTTAAGATGACTACCCAAAACCGTAAATTGGGGGGTACCCCATTAAAGGGCTAAAATACAAAAATGTGACCAAAGAAACTTTTTACGACCAGACAAAAATTAAAATATAGATATCATTCTATCGTTTAAAATAATTTGCAGCCGTGTGTTATTCCGGAACATTAAACTCGTTAACTAAGCGTCTTTTTCGAGGTCAGTTGCAATACTACTTGTCCAATAATACCAGCGAGTATTTCTTAATATGATTCACGAACCGTCACTTCATAATATAGGAAGATAGTAGTTGGTTGTACATGTAGTTGTATTGGAGTTGGCATACTTGTTTTGGTTTATTCGGGTTTTTTTTTTTTTTTTGTTCTTTGAGAGGGGTCAATTAATAACAAATCACTAAAAGTAAGCAGTATTAGTCTTAGCTGTATCAGTTAAGGGGTGTCATATCAGTTATGAAAATTAAAGTTAGTATAATTATCTTAAAGTTTGGTTTTTTTTCTAAAGCTTGTATCATTAAATAAATTTCATTGTCTAATTTAAAAAAAAAATATGTTTGTTTGTTTTTCTGTTTTTTTGTTCGAATGAAGGGGTTTACTGTTTTACCTTTGTCTGTTCGTCATATATCTGTTTAAATAGTTATCACAGTTGAGAGTACAACCAAATAATAATTGTTAAAAGTTTTATTTGATAGTTATTCTTAATTTCGTATAATTTGGGTGAATTTAAATTGTATATAAAGAGATGCACAAATAAAAATGACTTTAATTTGCTTTATTTGTTTTTTCCTATGTATATTTGGTTTTTTTTTTATTCATATGTAGAAAAACAAAATTATGCATGTATTAAGTGTTTTACTGATTAAATGTTTAATTTAATTTTTAATTTTGTATTTACTTCAACAAAGGTTTGCAATTGTTGAGTCTTTGAATTTATTGGGTTTTTTTGTTTCTTCCAATCTTATAAGAAGTTTTGTTTAATGCTTAACAATACCTGACTATATTTTAGGCTGTCTTCCTGAAATCTCACATTTTAAAAGATATATCTATTCTTCGAATGCTAGCAAAACATATAGCATACATACGTAGATGATAATAATAATGTTGATGAGGATGATGAGGATGAAGAAGATGTTTTTCTCCTTTCCTGATAATTGGGATTAGCCCATGTAGCTATTTATATTGAATGTAGTTTTAAATGATCATCATTATACATTAAAAAGTCATATATGCCAACTGAACAGCACATGGTTCATAGAGTTTCATCTTATGACAGTGTAAAATGTTTATTTACTAGTCATTTGAAGATTTTCCACCAATTATCCTATCATCTCCTTTGTTTGGGAACATAAAAGTGTGTATTTAAAAGAGGAAGCATTTTACTTATTTGAGTTATTTGCTAAACCTTTGACATTTAAATAACGATTATTTGCGTGACCGTTAATTTCGATTTGAAACACGGAAATATAGATGAAACGTAGTCCCGTAAGACAATAAAACTTCCTTTTAAACATGGATTATAATTTTAATGTTTTATTATCGTTGTTACATTTGTATGTTTATGTTATTTCATTGGTACAAGGACAACCGGGTAAGTGCATTTTCATACAAAACAAATTTTATCAGCATGTTGTGTATATTACCAATTCCACCAAATACGTTTTGGTTTTACTCGCATAATTTTACCAAATAAAATTCACTAAGATTTGAAAATGTTGACTTGCAGAATTTAACACAATTCCATTTGCAAACAAATCAACAGGCATTTTGATTTAACTCCCTTTGCTTTCCGTTGTTCAAACATATCTATAGTTTCTCGTATGATGTAACATTAACCTTTCACATATACAAGTGAATGGCAATAGAAAAAAACTGCCTATCAACTTGATAGTCGTTAAAAGTTAACAATTACACCTTAATTCCTTGAAATGTCAATTACATTACTATAAATCTTTAAACTGCTAACCTTTAACAGATAAGTCACATCCTCTATTGACCATGGCATGAGATACATCAATTAGCGTATTATCTTTTTTTTTGGATTCATTTGTATAATAAAAAGGTATTAAATATGCAATAACACACGTTTTTCTGAAACAATGTAAATGTACAGTAAAGATCTTATTATATATATATACGTAGTACATTGTATATTTCATCTTGGTTTAGAAAACTCACGAGTCGAAGAAAGCCCGACAAAATCATTGCAAAAAAGGCAAACCGACTACAACAACAAGCAACAGTCTACAAAATACTACATCAAAACTAAAGACTGAGCAATAACAACCCCATCTAAATAAAGGCGACACTAGTCTTCCAATGTTCAAATCGATAAGGAAGAGAAAAATCAAGGTAACAAACAGAAATTGAAAAGGAACGAGACCGGATGTTAGCATCTTAAGTTTTGCATGCATCACCCGCCATGCGAATTCGCACTAAGTCAAAAAATCACAATCTTGAATAGGACACAATTTGTAAAATTACAGATCAGATGACTATGTTGGTATCTAAAGATATAGGACTGCGAACTAATGTCGGTAGTGAGTTGTAAATAAAACCTTTCATGTGACTGTCGCCATATTGCTCTTGGTAAGTTCAAATTCAGTGTTACGTCTCATTTAGTGATGTCGCAATAAAAAATGAGGACTATAAAATGCCTACGACAATTGGACTAACATTCACAGTATCATAGATTGATGTGCGTAATTTGAGGGTTTGACACATGATGCCAAATGTTAAACAATTTATAATGAAAGCACACAACTTTAACTTTGAACTTGTTTGATTTATTTTCAACTGGTTATCTCATGAATGTTAAAAAGGGATATTTCGAATCAATAACTTCGAATGGGTCATTGAAAATTCTTAATGTCCTTTTGCGAAAAAACAAAAATAATAATCATAATAATATTAGATATGCAAAATTCTCTTACAAGTTATTCCAATAGCAATGTCTTTGATTAAATATTTATTTTATCTGATTATTTTGTTTTATAAAAAACTAGTGGATAATGTTTGCGTGAGATATCTGGAATGTTCATTATCTCTAGATTACATTTGTGAGAGAAACACAAAATGGCAATAATGGACATTATGTATAATTTTCTACTTACACTTTTACATGTTTACTCTATTATTACTTTATTTAGATTTTCTTTAAATGTACTTGCAAATTTCACGTGAATGAACATAGGTCTCTTTAACTGATCTCATTTACTATATACATGTAGTACATAATAATGAATTTCACGACTGTAATCTTAAATTAAAAGAACGAGGACATATTTGAATAAATGACTGAAGATAGTTTACGACAAAAAGTATGATGTCAACAGTGACCTAACTGACTGTAAACTTCCTTGTTTAATAAGAATGTAGATAAAACATTATCTGTTATTTGTTGATGATGTGGTTGACATCAGAATTATTCATACTTTCAGTGATTCAAATGCATGCATCATTTGGTATGTGCTCCTTTAAATAGTCTTGATTTTGTGTATTATTATCAACAGAAAACATTTAATACTCATATCCATGTACAAAATGTATTACATTTAAATCCAACTTCATAAGAATACGAGTGTAACATTTATATGTATTATCATGTCATCCAATTTTAATCATTTTGTCGTTTTCAAGCTAAAAAATCAATTCATTTTATCACCAAACAAAAAACAAAAATTGTTTTATCTTGACCTCTAACGGGGTGTGTCTGAATCTATTTTCCGATGTATTATCCTTTTTTTGTATATTTGACAGAAACATTGGTATATGAAAAAGAAACCCTTGCGACATGTGCGATGTAAAAAATATACTCGGCACAATATTCACCATTCTGATATTAAGACCTATAAATCGTCAACAAGTATAATCACAGTATATATACTTTAGCGGTAGCGCATTAATACACAGAATTGGCTGTTCCGCGTTACGCCCAACATATTTATACGACCAGGTATACTTAATTTGCAACAGTAAAATCCACGTTTTACGTAGGCCAAGCTTTAAATACATTGCACTGATTCAAACAAAAAAAATATGTTACTGCTATTCTAAAGATACTTGATTTCTTGATTGGCAACATATTTGTTATTCGGTTCAGAACAAAACTTGACGACAAAAGAGCTGATTTCAGCTTTCCAATTGTGAACTTTCCAATTATTTCTATTTGAGTTTTTTTACTATCATTCACAATGCCTAGACTCGCAACAATGAGCGCAATTATGACCTTCTGATTCATTTTTCGGTTTTATTTTAAGCACTTATTGTGAGTGACCTGATTACTTAGAAGACACGCGTTTTCATATCAGTTGTCTGCAATATTTAAATCTTTCAGATCTGAAGCAACTGCAAATGTGGACACATTAAAAATTTTTATTATTTATCTTTTAATTTTATTTTCAATTGATTCAACTTTTTGCTTCATTTTGAAAATCTTGCACGAATGACTATAAGTTAATTTATTTACTTAATATATGTATTTGTCATTAATTCATTTTAATTGTGAATATTTGTTGGAGGTATGTCATCTAATTAAAACCGATAACGTTTGGAATAGAATGACGATAGATATAGCGGGGTTGCATTTTTGCTTGTGTGACTTACCTTACAAGGAGGCAAACACTTTAAAACTTTGAAGTCTAATTGAAATTAGTACCAGTTTGATTTTGTATAACGGGGGCATGGTAACATGTGTTTTTAGTTTGACAGACCTTAATTATATCGTAAACTAACTTAAATGACCGCAAGGGAATCTATTTGACTTGCATTTAAATAAGTTGAAGTGGATTGAACTACATTGAACGTTTTTATATTTTGTCAGTCTTAATTAATAGTAAGTACACTTTTTCAAGTAAGGTTAATACCTATTTGGCCGATCAATCTTAATTCTGGTTATTAGTGTGTATTATATATAGCATGTGCCAAAAATCCTTTCAATATGTCATAAAACAAAACAAAAAACATCTCAAACGACAGAAGAAAAAAAAAGTGGGGGAACTTTTAATCAGAACAAAAACAAAATGTCTTTTGACGAAAAGAGGAAAGAACTTATAAGCAAAAAGTGTGCATCAAACACTGTTGATATTTTACCTACACTTGCCTCATTAGCTAAATTATTTAAACATCAAACGCAGATAAGTGGAGTAAAAATGACTAAGTCGTAATAACTGAAACAGACAAATTAAATCTATTAAAATTCGTTACATTAATTTTGCAGATTTTCAAGAAAATACCTTTGTAAGCAACTCAAGTATAATCAGCTGTGCCGGCAACACAACAATCACAATAGTCGATTTAAATGTGGAGCAATATCCAACACCATGCTCAGAATACAAGCAGTGTAATCTGACAGAAGAACAGAAGACTCTCATTAAAATGAGTTGTAATAAAGAAACATCCTGCACTATCTCAACGATTATTCCAAATACATGTCTGTTCAAAAATTATGGACACGTATCTATTTCATATTCATGCACAAGTAAATATTGTATTTTATTATTTTAGCTTAAGCGAATGTAGAGGTTGATAGATTTAATAAAGTAAACAGAAAAGAATTAAAAGATTTTTCAAAACAATGATATTAAAAGACAGCGAAAAAAAATGAAAAGAGACTGTCAACGTAGAGTAACAAACAGCAATACATAACTATTTTCTCGTTTACAACAATTTGTATAAAAACTTGTAAAACTATGCCGATATGTTTTAAGTTAACAGTACTTAATTTAAATAAGCCTACAATAGGTTAACCGGTATGGGACTCTTGCGCTTTTTGGTAGAACATTTCGCTTGTTTTGCCAGGGCAAACAAACACGAAGAATGTAGTTTCCGTTTATAAATTCTTTAACTATATAAAGCTACTTGAAGAATTTAGGTCAACATTTGATTATTCTATGCATAAAATTTCTTGAGCATAACACAAACACTCTAAGTCTAGCCATAAGTTGGACAAAACAAGGTGAACAAGTTCAAGTATATTTTTATTGGTTTCAAATATTTTAAAGAACGAACTATTGGATTAAAATTCGCTTACAGTAGTCAATGAGGTTCAATTTTGTTAGAATAAGCTTTAAAAATTAGTGATACTTTACAATTGGTTTGCAAGTCCAGTCAGTTACCAGTGGATACATCGACGCGGACAAACTCCTGAATCTTCTACAGGACCAGACAGAGATCACACAACTGCGTCTGGTAAAGTAACAATGCAGACATGGATTTGAAAAAAATCCCACTCCCCAAAAAAACAAACATACGTAGAAAATAAAAACTATAATCGAACTCCCTTTTTGTAGACGAGCAGGCTATCACGAATTCAACGAAGAGATAACGTTTATCAAAATGTGAAGCACAAGTTTCCACCATGTTTGGAGCGTAAATATAATACGTTTCGTGTAAAAGTAAAAGTAGAGTACACGGTCAGTGCCAGCTTAACTTCAATCAAGGTTTTTGTTGGTTTCAATTGTATTATTGGTTTTCGGTATATTAACATGACTGCCTTTAAACTGTAATTTCAAATGCATGTTTATTGCAAGGGTGCATTAACTACATCATAATTTACAATGTCAAAAAAAGGTTTAAAGAAACAAGAAATGGAAGAAATGAATGTTATATACATGTATATATATATTTATTCACATGTTTAACTACATGTACTTGAATCATATTTAAAAACAAAGTCTATTACAGGAATTATTAACGGTAGTTGTACTTTCGAAAATGATCTGTGTGGTTGGTCAGTCAGTAGTAATGGAACTTACCAGTGGATACATCGACGCGGACAAACTCCTGAATCTTCTACAGGACCAGACAGAGATCACACAACTGCGTCTGGTAAAGTAACAATGCAGACATGGATTTAAAAAAGATCCCACTCCCCAAAAAAACAAACATAGAAAATAAAAATTATAATCGAACTCCCTTTTTGTAGACGAGCAGACTATCACGAATTCACCGAAGAGGGTTAATATTGACTGAAGACTCAGACCTAAGTCAAAATATCCTTAAGAGTTGATAAAATATGACTGATGTCAAAAGACAACAATTGTTATATTATATCATTATATTTTTTGTCTGACCATTTTTTTGTTCTATTTTCAGACAGATACGATCGTGAAAACTTTATCATGCCTTTTTTTTTTTCGTTCGCATATCTTATCTTATCTTATCTTGTGTTTCCTATCATGATTTCCTTGATAGAGGATTGCTGCTCACAAGGAAGCTATTAAACCAAGAGTTCCAAATGGTGAAGTTGAAGTCATCCCTTCTTAAATTTTACGGACGCCATCACGAGTTGGTTGACCGTTATGGAATAACCGTTTCACAGATGATATCGGATATGTTCCTTATGTCGTAACTACAATACCCTCCCTTTTCACGAGTGTGACTCGACTTACCGAATTAGACTATTTACCGGATTTGTAATAACATAAGCAACACGACGGGGGCCACATTTAGAGCAGGATCTGCTTACCCTTCCGGAGCACCTGAGATCACCCCCATTTTTTGGTGGGGTTCGTGTTGCTTAGTCTTTGGTTTTCTATGTTGTGTCATCTGTACTATTATTTGTCTGTTTGTCTTTTTATTTTTGGCCATGGCGTTGTCAGTTTGTTTTCGATCTATGAGTTTGACTGTCCCTCTGGTATCTTTCGTCCCTCTTTTATCAAAGTACGTTTGTTTATATGAATATTCGGAAACAAATTTTTAGAATTAATCTCAAATCGAGTATTAGTTAATTGAAGATTTCAATTTCTAGAAATATAAGTTTGTTTTATACGTATGTATTCAAGTAAGATCCAGAAGATGCATTTTTCTATAAAAGAAACGCTAAACATGAATTTGAATAATTGTTTTTATTTCAATGCTTTCCATCAGTTTTTTTTTTTTTTTTTTGTAACCTTGATTTGTCTTTTCCTAATCGTTTTACGAAATTTAATCATCGATGAACTACTGTTCTCTTTGTTTATACATGTTTACTCGCAAATTCCGATGCTATCATTATAAAAAATAGATATAAATAGTGCATTGCGATAATTACATGTTCATAACGTCTATGCATCGTGATTTAGAATGTTTATGAAGAACAAAACAGAATTGCACCATCGTCGATGAAGAGGCGGAATAATTCATAACTCATAAGTCGATATAAATTATCAACGCCATCATGAAAAAAAAAGCCGAAAGGATATGAAAAAATAACACAAGTTCACAAAACACTTTTTTTAAATCATCTCTTTTGTCGTAAAGTTTTATTCCCAACATTTTTTTTTTTTTTTTTCGTTCTTCCTAAAAAGCTCCTGTATGAAGTCAGCCTTTAAGACTGACAATATGAATCCAACCAAAAACTAGGGACGATCTCAGGTAGAAGAATGAGTAGATCCTGCTCCACTAGTGGCACCCGTCGTGTTATTCATGGTAATAACAATTCAGTAATGAGTCTGATCTAGTCACAATCATAAAAAAAAATTATGATATTGTAGTTCAGTCAGGAACATCTCCGCGACATCTGTAGCAGAGATATTTCATAATGGCAACATTACTCGTGATAACGCCCGTAAAACAAATCCCTGAACATTCAGGAAAGTATAATGAAAAAGATTATACACGATTTTGGTAGTTTACATAGTGAAATCCGAAATATTCAAACGTTACGGAATAAACTTGTCATATCATGTAAAGATTATATCGTGAGCGCACTTTCTTAGACTATGTTTACTTTTACATTTATGCCGCTTTGGTATCATCCCTATCTTTTTACGCAAACAAATATTTTTTAGGAGATGGTTACTACATGTATGCTTACACGAATTCTGAATGGGGCTCTCAACCAAAAGAGGAAAGTGATCTGTTTTCTGGTTGGATAGGATCGAATCCAAAGCAGTGTTTGACATTTTGGTATCACATGTATGGGGAACAAATCAACACATTGAAAGTATTTCAAATGGATAATGAAAGTACTATTGAACTGTGGAAGAAATCAGCTTATCAAGGAAACAAATGGTATTTTCAGTCGCTGTCATTGAATGATATAGGGCTATATCGAATAAAGTTTAAAGCCATTCGTGGTAACGGAAGTAAAGTTGAAATCGCTATTGACGACATCTCCATTACCAACACCGATTGCAAGAAAGGTATGACACGTACTTCTCTTTAAGAACAAATGTTTTTTTTCTTATAATCTTTGTTTATAATTTTAGACTGTTATGCAAAGGAACATGCTTTGCAATGCGAGTGAAAAGAGCATGGTGTATTGTGTTGGATGTCACAACAATTTAATTCCTAAATGCATTACATATTCGTTATAAAAAGTAGTTGTAAAAATGATGTTTACCAAATGAAAATTCGTAACAGCTCGAGTACACATTCTTCCATTAAGTTTGAAATGACAGGGAACGTAGTCTGTGACAGCTCTAAAACAGTCCGGTAAAAAATTAAGAAAGACAACAGTTTTCAGAGATTTTCAACTATGTTACAGTGTTGGTCGCTCGCTTGTATGAAAAGACTATCAAAATGCTTGACTGTGGTATAACAATATGGTCAACCTTAACACTTGCTTTCCCGCAGTAAAACATATGCGGTTATGTTGAGCATAACTTTTTATTATACTGCAATGTCAGATTAAAACTTCCCGTTCATCGTGTCGATATCCTTAATTTTTAGAACTATTCTACATAACTGATTGATTCATTGTTGTTTGATAAACGCCCAGTATCAAACATTTCATACATATTCAGGACACATTACCAATCAATGCAATATTTGAGTTCTACACAGTGGGTCCACCGAAAATTAGAGCAATATGTTTTACTAATCCCGGAAAACGAGGGCATGTTTATAGGAAAACACAGTTCGCATTGCTACGGGTTGTTGTTCAAGGAGAGAGTGTCGCACTATCTCTTTCCGAGTCATCATATTTGATGTTTAATGATTAATTTAATGTAAATCTAAAAACGGGAAGTCCATTAAAACTGAAAAAATCAAATGTTATCAACCAGCGGATGTAGCTTTTTCAGTGTTTTTTTTTCTAGTTAAGGAAGATATGTTAATGGGACCCAATCAGAAAGGTTGGATTATTAATGGAAAGAACATCTTCAATTTATCTGTATGTCAAAATAAATGGTCTGACTTCTTTGATCTTCTTGTTTTTTTACAAGTGTCTGAAGAAAGCCCGACTCACATAAAAAAAGAAAAGTCCGCCCAGGAGATATGCACCGTTGGTTCCAATAAGAATACCTACAACCTGCTAGAATATTCACCCTCCAAATTTAGCAAATATGTTGTCAATAAGAGCTCAAGCATACTGATCACTTGTTCTTTGGTGTAGCAGGTTTTATTGTCGAGCTCCTTTGTAACAAAATATGTAGAATAATATCCCAAAACAATAAATTTGTAGCGTATGGTGCCATTTTTATGGAGGAAAGTATTGTGGATTATTTCTTTCAGATGGGTTTATAATTATTCATGTGGTAGAGTAGGGTGAAGGAGGGTCACTGAAGAAACATTAATTGTCGAAATTGAATCTAGGGCAGTAACATTGGTACCTTTAATATTATAACTAACCTATGATCAAAGTTCTTTATAGTTTCTAGCCTTGATTGCAACTTTGAAGGAGAACCTTGTAATTGGAATGTAGTGCAGGAATCTGAATATATGTGGACTGTTATTTCTGGCGGAACTCATCCTAATGATACCGGACCGGAGGCTGATCATACAGACGGATTTTGTAAGTGGTTTATTACATCATGTTTACTTATATTATATAATAATCAAAATAAAGATACCATCTGTCGGAGCTTTTAATATGTATCTGAACAGGAACGCTCAAATCCAAAAACTTGAAAGCCTAGAATAAATCCTTTTACATTCGACATGGAGTTTTACCTTAAGGGACAAAAATGAAAAGACAAGTCCACTTAAAGTAAACTTTACTTTTTTATGTCCGTTGTGTTGTATGTCTGTGATGTATGTTTACACAGTTTTGAATGCTAGGACCCAATTATTGTCACATCAACTAATTGTGTCTGTTTGGGTTGCTCACCCAATTGTGTTAATAGAGCTAGAAACAACTAGCATACAAGTTGGAAGTTTAGCTAGCATAAAACCAAGTTAAACCCTCTGTTTTCTTCACAAATGCCTCTACCAATATGGTTTAAGAAAATTGACAATTGTTTTCTTTTCGTTATTTTATTACGTAGAGCGTTTGATTTTGTCGGGTTTTATTAACTTTCCCCTTTTTTAATTAACTTTGAAGTTCGGTATTTTTTGTTAATACATGTACTTATTAGTTATTACCTTAGTTTTTGAAATGTTGTAACTGTCCTCCAACAGCAAAAACACAGGGTAAATTATTTCAGTACCAATACGCTGACTTCCGAAGTGATAATAGTCTCGACGACTATTGCTAACATCGACCAAAGGCTAGAAAATGAAAAACATTCATTTAGATTTTGTGTGTTTGAAATTCTTTTCTCGATTCTTGATTACACTTCCTCATTTGCGCTCTAACAAAAAAGGGACCCAACACAAGTAGCCAAATTCTTTTAGGTCAATTATACTTGAGGAATTTGAAATCGTTATTTCGTTATAATTTCTGAATTATCAACTAAAAATTTAGGAAAATCATTATATAAATCAAATCGATTGACTACTGAACTTTTGATACAATAGGTGAAGATTTCCAATTATTTGATTCTGTTTTAAGAAATAACAACTATTTATTTTGACGTCCTTCTTGTTACGTTCAAAAGCAAAGGCTATGTTGCAGATATGATACAGATCTTAGAAACAGGGGTAATTCGTGAATTATCTGATACCGCGGTCTTCTCGATATCCTGCCGACTGTTAAAAGTACATCACATAGAAAAATGGAAATGAAATATACATTGAATTGAATTAAATTTAAATTAAAGTCTCTTATCTGCTAAGGTTATATGACACATCAAATTAACAAAATAAATCAAATTGCTTTTCAATACTTGAAAAACTAAGTTTCAGTATAAAACACCTGAAAATATATTTTTTCTTGGAATAAAATCCTTTATTTTATCAGAATCCTCAGAAATGTACTGCTATTGAACTTGTTGAATTAGTGTCGTCTTGTATTTTAATTTGTCGACAGCTTTTCCGTATGAAGTTTCTTTAACAACGACTTTGTCGTTAGAAACTCGGCAATTGAACAGCGAAAGTGTGGAGGGAAAAACAGTGATGGAAAAAATAATACACTAAATAATTAAACAACTGGTATGCTAAAGTTTTATTAACAGATAGGATCGCAAAAACAAGAAAACATCGCTCTATCATCTCACCTATTATACAGGTGTTCCGTGATGCTGTGTTGATTGTTTATCGAGGTCACGATCGGTAAACGTCGGTACTAAAACACGAAAGTTAGAGTGCATTTCTTTTTCACACAAACGATGCAAATGGCTAAGCGCGCACATGTTTTGATCATTTATTTCTAACATACATAAACTTTGACAAACTATGCACTCGCTAAAAATGCGTCTACAGTTTGTCGTTCATCGTTTGTTAGTACAAACGCTACATTTGTTTCTAACTTCAACCTGATTTAACGATGTATTTGTTTCTACGTTTGCAAAAAGTCTGTTTACCAACAACATGTGCATGCATTATTGGAAGTTCAAACAGGGTCAGTAAACACTGATTGAACGATGTGTTTGTTTCTACTTTTGTAGCGTTTAGAAAACAACAACAAACGCCACACAACGTTTACAAAATTTTGGTTAGAAAGAAATGCACTCTTAATTAGTAAACAACTTTTTGATCCACAACCAAAAGAATGAAATATTTTTTGTCGATTATACGTAATGGTTTTGTTATAAATGTCAAATACATGCACAATGGACTTATTTTAGTATATATGCATGCATAGGTTCAATAATTTTCTTAGCATTATAATCAATAGAAACTTCATATGACTTTCATCATCTTTCACTGATTAACTAACAAAGTTTATAGGATAAAATCTTATAACAGTTTCGAATAACATTATCAAACGAAGATCGTGTTAAATGTTTACTTCTCACAAAAAGTATTAACGTCTTGCTTGTAAAATGTGTCCTTCATTGAGATTCTTACCAATTCTTAGTGTTTGACTCTTTTCAAAGCGCATAATAATAAATAAGAAAATGTATGTTTTACGTATTCTGATAATGAACCGCATAGGATTGCTGCCATTGAATAATAAACGTAGTTGTTTGATTTTAGGCAAGTTTTTTTCGAAATGATTTCAGTATCTGATAGTCGTGCTAATAGGCTGTCTCTCACTAGTTTTAAATTAAAAAGAAATCAGCGGAGTTTTTTGTTTCTTATGTTTTCAGTTACCTCGTTTCCATTATTTTTGTTACAGTATTGTGGATTTAAATGTTAACAGACTCAATAATTTAAGTGGGTCATTATTTTTTTTACGAATATTACAAAATCTCACGCTTAGCTATTAGTTGAGAATTGGAGCCAAAGTAGTTTGCCGATGTTGAATTGAATGGATCGCATGAACTCCAAAAAGAGCGAAATCGGGATTAGAACATAATCGGGTAATGTCCAGATCAGATCAGAAGACTATTCTGGTATCTTATAATATTACACCGCGAAACCATGTCGTTTGTGAGGTGAGACTTTAAAACACTACATCGGTTATCCAAGTCATGATTGTGACCTTGAAACGATTTCAGATGTTATTTCTGTGTATTAACAGTTTTTTCGTCAGAAGCACTCATGATCACCTGTTAAAGGAGAAATAGCTGTCTAATGTATGTTCACCGATTTGACTTAAATCTTCCTACTTGATTTATACCACACTAAACGTATGTTCAAATTACAAAAATATCATTGATAACATAAATATAAATACACAGCACTGACAATCGTATAATATCGATTTTTCTAGGTCTGTTTAACTTCATCAAATCGATTAAAAATATATGTATAGCATCATTTACCTGTATTAGAATGGTTTTTTTGTGAGACAGATCAGTCAACAAAACGGTTATTCATGATTTCTTTCTTGTTTCACTTTTCAATATTGACATTCTTTTCTTTTGAATGAATTACCACATGCTCAACACATGCTCAACCTATAGCTATCTCAATTAAATTAAAAGTAGCATGAATACGAATTCAAATCAGTTGAATCATTGACTTGCAACTAATAATACATCAGCGAAGTTTTTGTGCTTATGTTGACGAATTTGAACCAAAACTGACTGCTAATAGCGAAATATTATTTCTATATTCCGCTTTTATAAATTTTTGAAACACACAAAATATATTTAATCTTTTTGTCCAATTCGTAGCTAATGCCCCTTTAATGAAATTCATTTAAAGTTAATATGCATTAGCGTAACGTTATAATTGAGATATGAAAACGCCATGCGATAGGCTGATAAATGGGGAAAATAAAGACATACAAAGACATGAAGTAGACCTTCTAGTTTCGTTGCGGTAGCATCCTTAATATCATGTCCACTGTGATATGTGAATAGAAAGCACTCACCAAAATGTGGGTTATTGGGTGAAAGGACACAACTTCTATTAATATATCTGAAAATGAAAATTTTTATTTAAGTAGGTTCTGTATAATTTCTGCGTCGTTTGAGTAAATAAACAAATCGGCGTGCATAATAAGTACGCATCTAAATACAGACTTTCTGTTGAAATGTTTACGTTTGAGTGTCCCTGATGAAAATAAATCCAAAAAGCGCATCGGAAGAAAATTTATAAGTAAAATGTAATTTCAATTATTTCTTTTCCAATCTTTTTTTAGGATGGTATTTTCTAGATTTTCAACATATATCGTGGCTTTATCAAGTCGTCTAGTATTCGTATTTTTTTCTCAAAGCGAAGAAAATTAAATGCTGTCGGTCATTTCTCTGTGTAGATTCAATTATCATGCAAGACTCTCGGTTATCAATGACCGTCGAATACATTCGTCAAACACAATGTTCTCACTTCGGTGTTGACATGAATATCAATTATATGGCCATTTTCACACTTCGGTGTTGACATGAATATCAATTATATGGTCATCTTTATCAATTAACTGTTTGCAAAAGTATGAACTACTCGCAATACTAAGGATTTTCTTATCCCAGGCATATATTACCTTAGCCGTATTTGGCACAACGTTTTGGAATTTTGGGTCCTCAATGCTCTTCAACTTTATACTTGTTTGGCTTTTTTACTATTTTGATCTGAGCGTCACTGATGAGTCTGATGTAGACGAAACGCGCGTCTAGCGTATTAAATTATAAGCCTGGTAGCTTTGATAACTATTCTTATCTATATGCACTGCCAATCTAACCACCAAACAGGGACAATAGCTATAATCAGCGATACAATCGAACGAAATTGTGTTGATGAATGATTAATTGTTGCGTCTTCTTTCGTCTCAGAATTCTTCACAAAACATACAGTAACTATAGTTGATGGAGTTAAATGATTTCATCTTTCAGCCAAATATTTGCTACTGGACGTTAACCAACCAACAATAAATCAAGCCTAGTATTTGTGATGTCGTTTTCAAATATACTTTGGCTTAAACGTTGTTACTTACGACCTTAACATTTTCAACACTTCTGTACGAAATTTAACATTTTCAACACTTCTGTACGAAATATACTCGCAAAATGATAGAAATGTTATGAGGCTAGATCCATAAACTTGAATTAATTTTCAAAAACTGTGATAGATGCAATCGGGGATAAT